CAGATTACCAGCATAGTTTCAATAATTAATACATTGCACATTGTTGTCTAAGCAGTCATTAGAGAGATTTGTTCTAATGGTGTTTGTGGACAGGATGTCATGTTTGCATCTTCCTCCATGTATTTCCTAAGTACATTCCCAAATTTTCTGACTCTACTCCATACCTGTTTGTCTTGTCTCGGCCCCACAATTTATTCTCTCTTGTATGAAAAAGTTTATATGCTTTGGGTCAGATTCTTTGGGTCTTCCTTTTTCCTTTCGTGGACTCCAATGTACATGTAAAAAGATATCCTTATGTCTCTCTTTTGTTAATCTTCCTTATGTAAGTTTAATTATTATACTACCAGCAGAACCTAAGAAGATAAGGAGGATTTACTTTCCATAAAGACGTTATAAATAGCTGTGAGTAGGGAGCAACTTTCTTGATTTCTAAAAATTATAAGAAAATAAATACCCCCAATGCTTTAGCCATTATTTATTCATTAATGCTTCAAAACAATATTCAAAACTTTTAGCATGAAAATATCATTTCATGGCATTAAATTTAGTCTATCATATGTTAAAAATCAAAATTTAATACATTGATTGAAAGAAGATATTGCAGAGACTAGTTATTCTCTAATTTTAGAATTAGGAGGAGTTTCTAGGTAAAGAAGTTCTTTCAACATGTTCTGTGAAATACTTTTTTTTTCCCAAAATATCCTAAAGGTGAAATGTTCTTTAAGGTAAATAAATATCTAACTGACAGCACAAGTTTGTCAACACCTATTTCGGCTCATTTTGGAAATCTCAGCTTACTAACTCCAAAGGAAAATTCCTACTCTGCAATAAGTATTATTTAGAATTTAATTTAAATTTTGAAAATTATGCACTCGTAAAATTACTGCTACTGTTTCTAGATTTGCTCCTTATGATGATTGATATTCTTTGTGAATGTTCTTTAGATGATATTCTAGTCAGCTTTGCAGCACTGGGACACAGAACTGAAATTATCAACTCAGGCACACAAAGAAAAAGACTTTGCCCCAGAATTTTGGAGCTTCTTCTAGTATCTAATCTTTGGGGCCCTTGCTTTAGGCGAGCCTGCACATCATGGCAGGAGTGTGTGCCCACGCAAAACTCCTTAGCATGTGACTAAGAAGAAAGAGAGAAGAAGGAAGGGACTTGGGTCCTGCAGTGACTTTTGAAGCCATGTCTCTAGGGATCTGAAGATTGCACTCTATGTTTCCACCTGTTAATGTTTTTAACACTGCATAGTGCCAACCTGGGGAGCAAGATTTTGGTACATAGACCCTTGGGACAAATTAAGATACAAATTATAGCAAGTGGTAATTTTTAAATAGTTTGAAGTTGGTTGCACATGTCTTTTCCATATAAAAATTTTCCAGGTTTTTACTGTTTCTATGGATGAAATGATTTCAAGCCTAATCACCTTTCTGGTACTGATACCTAAAGATGCACTGAAAAGTGTTCTCTTTCAGAGTTTCACTCATGTCACTAAACATCAAGATAAACTAATGAACAGTAGCTCCTCGGAAGGATGGTCTGCTTTGTATTAAGGCTAGTAATGTTATTGCTGTTGTTTTAAAATTATGAAGCCCAAATCAGAGAAAAGTTCACTGATTACATCAGTTTTAAGTATATTCTCATTGTATTTCACAGTTTGCAAGTAATTAGTTGTGAGACTAAATTAACATTTAGTATATTTTTAAATATGCCTTTTATTTCATAACAATTGTTCTAGGGCTGCAAATAATCTCTGAGAAATATATTAAGACATATAATGTTAGCCAAATTATAAACTCTGACTTATTTTAATCATTATTTAGATTATATAATATGACAACAGTTGAAAGACAAAATTTAATATTTAGCTAGTAAGCCAAAAGAGATTGTTTCTTTTACGCAGTGTCATTCACGAGCAATTGTCTGGATGATTACATTATTAAACTATTATACAAAAATGGACTTCAGGATGTATTTATTCAGCTTTTTCTGTGTTTGTATGTGTGTGTACCCGTGTATGTCTTACAGCTGTTATTTCAAGAAACCAAGAAGGGCCAGGAGAAATGGGAAAGGCTGTGCTGATTCCTAAAGATGATCAAGAGAAAATGAAAGAATTGTTTAAAATCAATCAATTTAATCTTATGGCCAGTGATCTGATTGCCCTTAACAGAAGTCTGCCAGATGTAAGATTGGAAGGGTGAGTTTGCCTGTGTGCTGTAATCTTGTTTAATTTGTAGTACCCATATTTCATAAGCTCAGAACCTCAGTTGAACCAGGTTATATTGATTCTAAAACTCCATTGTTCTGACTACTATACATTTAGTGTGTACTATGCGTGCATATGCTGGGAAATCTGACCTAATTTGTTTCACGTAGCAGACTAAACATACTACTTGCAAAGACAATAGAATTCACAGGCCTAACAGATTTTTATTTATAAGATTTCTTTTTTTTTCCCTCACTTTGCTTTACCTCGCCAAATACAGAATAAGTGTACATTTTAAAAGATTCTTCACTTGCCTGCACATAACACACCTTATACTTTGTTTTGGAAAAGTATGTGCTTTGCTATTGTGGCATAAAAGTACCCAATTACCTGCATGATTCCTTGACCCTTTAAAAATGATTCAATTGGGGTTCTAGCCCTGTATGCTATTTGTAATTGCGACATTTATCAGCGATGAAAAAATTGATCAACTGGAAATAATAGTGCATGAACAATGATGACAAGTTCAACTTTTCTATGCTTAACTCTAATTTATGCTCCAGTTGAACATATTTTAATTGTGTGTAATGACTTCAGGTACTTATTGTTAAAATGCCATCCTATTGTAATCTTTTTGAAAAGCCAATTCCAAGTATTAAAAAAATATATATCTTGAGATTTTAGAAAAGTCTTGATTTTACAAATGTATTCCACTACACACTTCTATGTAACAGAGTATGATTTTCCTTATGCCCAGTAAACTCATAATTAATGCAAGTTTGCTACTTCTGTGTCTTATATTTCTGTGTCATGATATTAACATCATATTTATTAAGTTGGATATTTTTTCTTTGTAAGTTTTTTCAAATAAGACCAAATCCTTATCAATATGATGAGGCTAATTATTTTCAGGGGACTAAGTTAAAAATTCCTCATAACATTGTATGGTTTTGAAACATCTCCTAAAAATAACATAAATGAGTGCATGTACTGGATTTTTTTCTAGAAAATAATTTAAACTCAGATGTTAAATATACATATTATAAAGGTCTAAATGTTTTACATATGGATCTGAACTTATGTTCTTATTTATTAATGTCATTTTAAAAGATATACAGCATGTTTATTCTTCAAAATAATCCTGAACATTTTAGATGCTTTATTATGTAATCTTGTTGCATTTATAACTTTGTTTTCTATGTCTTGGTGTGATAAAAAATGATGCTAGTATAGTCAGAAAAACTACACAAACCTTTAAAATGAGAAATAATTGTTTGGCTCTTATAATTCAAGGTAATTTAATTTTATAACAGATATAGATATGCCCAAATAGGAATTGACTTAATTGGAAAAAGAAAGCAAAGTCTTCATTGTGCAGCCCTTTCAAGTGTTGTGGCACAGTGGAATTTCTTGTTTTAGGAATTGAGGAGTCACTTAGCAATTAAATGCTTGAGTGATCAGGCCTTATACTGTAGAATCACTAAACACTTGAAAATGAAAGATTTAAATTCTTTAGTATCCATGTTACATAAATGCATATTTACAATGGTTATTATTGTTTGAATACTGAGATTTAACAAATATTATATGAAATAATATTATTAATATAAGCAATTTTCTATTTTGTTTTCCTCTGACCCCACAATGTACATCACCGAAAAGAAAATAGAATTGCTCTCTAAAATTGCTGAATAAATCGCAGTGTATGAAGTTCATGGGTGATGACTGCAAAGCATCTTTGATTTTTAATGTTGTAAAACCTTTATTAACCACATATCCAAACTATTGTAGAATAGTTGCAGAGATATCTTAATAATTATTTTATGCAAGGTTTTAAGAATTCCATTATTCTGTTTAATATTTAGATAGCTATGCCTTGAAAAGTGCAATTCAGACTGAACTGTAGCCCAATTGTGAGGTCCTCAATCCTTCCCTCAAGAGGGAAGAAAAAAGATATTAGCACGTTATATTAGCCACAATGAAATGATGAAGGGGATTCATTATGTAAAGATCTTAAAAGTGGATCCCTAAATAGATAATTTTAGCAAAACTTACTGTGGAACATCTGAGTGGATACTCAGAAAGTATGTGAATCACCCAAACAATGAATTCTTTCAAATGTCCAAATATATTTTACCACAGTATGCCTTTAAACTCATCTGACTAAACCCAGAAAAAAGTCCAAGTAGTTGAATATTGGATTTCATGTTAGTATCAATCTAAAAAATATCATAAAATATGTTTCAAGTAATAAAAGTAAGTAAATTTTGCATCTTCTCACAGGAAACAGATTAGGCAAAAGTGTTTTCTTTGGAGACATTCATGAAAAAAATATCAAGATAACCTGGAGTAAATTTTGGAATGCTCACCCCCAGGGTAGGGTACAAACACTGAATTTATTATTATTAATAATACACTTACACGTAATCTTACATGTAAACTATAGGTATCAGAGATAGTGTGTATAGGGCCCGCCAGATAGCTCAGCGGATTAAAGCTCCTGCTTATGCAGAGTGCAGTGGCTGGGGTTTGATCCCCAGCATGCTGTGCTGCCCCCCACCTGGGGTGAGTTGAGACTGTGAATGAGACTGGGCTTGGTGGCACACACCTGTAATCCCAGTGATTGGGAGGCTGAAAACAAGAGCATCACTACAAGTCAGATCTGTGTAGTGAGATCCTGTAGACATTGTACTAAAAACATTAAAAAGAAAGAAAGAAAGAAAGAAAGAAAGAAAGAAAGAAAGAAAGAAAGAAGAAATAAAGAAAGAGTAAGTGTGTATATATTTTAAGCACAAGCAAGGCTGGAGACCTCTGGTTATTACTTTTTCAAAGAACCATGGTATTTTTATTATAGTCTATATATGTTTAATAATAAAATTCTAAACTTCTATAACCAACATCCTTTCTTTGTTTACTTTCCTTAACAAAGTTTTTAAAAAAGAAAAGGAAAAAAGAATTGCCATAAAATTTATCTTATCGACAATATTGAGAAAATTGAATATTAACTTGATTTGTTGTAACTCAGCATTGGGGATTTATTTGCGTGTTTCCTATCAAATATGTGTTTGAATTTTTATAAGGTTATATTGTTTGAATTTTAGAAAAATAGAATTTAAATGCTTCTGCTCTTTACAAAGTAAACAAATACACATCACATTTCTGGTCTTTTTATCTAAGATTTTGTGTTAATATTTAGAGAGAAGGCAAAAGAAAAGGGTAAGAGAAAGAGAAAAAGGATTATATTTAGTAGACTTAAGAAACCTATTGGACTGGGGAGATAGCTCTGTGCTCCAAGTGCCTGCCTGGCAAGTACAAGGTCCTGAGTTTGATCCCTGGTACTACAAGCCTCACTGGACCCTGAACCCTAGGTGTGCCATGCAGGCCCCGAAACCAGGCATGGTGGCCCGTGCCAGTAATCCTAGCACTGGGGATGTTGAGAGAGGAGGATCACTATGAGTCTGAGCTGCATAGTGAGACCCTGTACCAAAAGAATAATTTAAAAAAAAAACCAGAAAAGGAAACATTAAATAAGTATGTTATTGGGAACATTTTGGTAGTCAGTGTTGACCTATGTTTCTAGCTTTTATAGGAATTAGCAGAAACAAAAGGAGTATGGGTTATGGTCTATAGTCTAGGGACAGTCCTACATCCCATGATATGAAAAATAAATATGGGGATCAAAATGTCAGTTACACAGAGAGAATTTTCAAATAGGAGTTGGCCAAAGACTCTTAATACTGAAACAAATCACATAGGTTTGAAAGTTGACTCTATAGTAATCTTGGGGAAAATGATTAATTTTCTAGCCCAAGTTTCCTTTCACTGATTAAGCCCATTAAATTATAACTCGATCAACAAATCCTTGTTTACCTAGTACAGGTTTAATCTTGAGAACACAAACCACATGTAACAGCCCCTGGAATATAGGGAGTTCAGAGATAAGATATACGCAGGTATAAAACTAAGTGTGATATTTTGTGGCACATGATTGAAAATATAATGAAAACAGTACTTAGTGAAATATATATATATATATATTTTTTTTTCTTTGTATAAATGTTGTTATCTTGTGGAATTTTTTTATGCTCCCTGGTTTGTCTTTTGGATTATGGGCAACTTTTAAAACTACAATCTTCTCCCTCTGCTCTTTGCAATTCTTTTAAGTAAGAAGTTAACAGTAATTATTGGATAAATATTTCTTTAAAAGTTACATGCAGTTAAAACAGAGTTTTAAAATTCTTTACATTTACTTATATTTAGATGTTTCATGGTACTTCAAATACTGGTATTTCAAGGTTATAATGCAGCTGACATTTACATATAATCCATCAGGAAAAAAATTGAGGAAACAGCAAATTTATTTCAGCTATTTATATCCTAGACCAAATAACTGCTTCATATGTCTGCACACTTGCAAGCTGATAAAGAAAAAAAGATGTGAGCAACCTTATGTTATTAGTGGAAGAAGAGCTATAGCACACAAATTTTGAATAAATTGCTCTCAAAGGGCAGATTTTATTTACTATATGAAATAAAAATAAGCTATAGTATATTAATTTCTGCGCTCAGTCTTTTGAGTACCTGTCCATTTATATATATTTCCTTTCCTATTAATTAATATATGATAAATGTAGCATTGATTGCACAAAGAAGGAATAAAAATGAGAACATTAATTGGATTTTTGATCTCTGTTCCACAACTTTTCTTTTCAATTTGAGAATTATTACAACTTGCAAGTAAAGATAAAATTTTTGTGTGTGAAGATAATAATAACCTTTTAATATTGTGGTTTATGTGTTTGTGTGTGTGGAATTAATTTCACTACCTACTTAACAAGTGTGTAAGAATGTCTGTGTGGTTTTGTATTTGGAAAAATTATAGCTATTATCTTTGGGGAAATAATACTGATGCCTCACACATTTTCTTTCACATAGGAAACAGAATAAAGCACATATAAGCATTTTTCTTAGGGGAATAATGTTTTACTTTA